ATCCGACTCCTCTTGGTGGGATTTTCTCTTTCTTCCTTAAAAGAGAAAAGAGGGAAAAAAGGAACGTACTGAGCAGTGCCTCTTTCTCCATGGAACAGACCAGAGAATGTTATCTCCAGGAGCAAGTTCACCAAAGGTCCCTTTACTGCTCCACTTCAGATGCAGAATGTGCAACAAGTGTCTGGCCAGCTGGGATTTCACATGAGTTTAACCTAAGGTATGGGGAATGAAAACTGCACACAGAGCTGCTGGAGTAGAAAACTTGTCTTTTTAGCCAATCTATAAATATTCCAGTGCTGCAGAGGCTGGGAAATGCAGAGACAAAGCTACTAAAATTACCTTGATTTCTCTGCCTGTTAAATGCACAGGAGGTGAACTGCCCAACAATATCCAATGTGAAAATCCAAAACAGCACAGGGCAAAACTCAGCAGTGAAAAATCCAAGGATTCTCCTTACCTGGAAATAAGTGACTGCAGCACTCATGAGAATGAGACAGAGCCAAACAGTTTTGCACATCTTCTGTGCATGGCTCACATTTATGACAGGTTTCTTACCCTCTTCCCCCAAAACACCTATGACAAGTCGGTAAAGTGTTGAAATTTTATCAGATTTTTATGTAGCTGATCTGGAATACATTGTAAATTAGTTATGACTTCTTGGATACTCTTCTTTCCAATCTGCAGTTACATAATGGCAGTGTCTGAGGGCTGGGATGGATGATGTGGGGTTTTTAACTGGCCTCCATCTAGAGAAAAAAAGCCAGTTTTTGAAGTAATTGCAAGGTTACAGTCAGCCTACCAAAGTTTACATATATGTATGTATATATATATATATACACACATATATATGTATGTATGTATATATATATATTTATACATATATTTATATATATGTATGTGAATATATATATATACACATATATATGTATATATATATTTATATATATTTATGCATATATATATATATATATATATATATATATGTGTGTGTGTGTATTTTTCAGCCACAGGAATCCCTGAGCAGCTGCATCAATTCCATGGCACTTGGATTTGTGAGGTTTGACCTTCATTGATTAAATGACTCCGAAACAATTTTNGCTCAGCCGGACCGGAGGCACCGGGCCCGGCTCGGCACTCGCGGGCTCAGCCGGACCGGAGGCACCGGGCCCGGCTCGGCACTCGCGGGCTCAGCCGGACCGGAGGCACCGGGCCCGGCTCGGGAGCGGCTGAGCTCCGGCAGGGTCCGGCACGCCGGGGTCTCGTTCCCCCTCTGTCCCGTACCGGGGAACCGGGAACAGCTGGAATCGGTCACTTCTTCACTGGCAGCTCCCCGTTCCTGGGAGAATCCCGGTCCGTGGAAAAGGAGGAGAGATTTTGCATGAAGATAATCAATTCAGAACGTGTCTTTCATATAACAAATGAACGATCTCGGTAAATGCCTGTATAAATCACTGTGTCTAGGAAAAACACAAAGGAAAAACAGAGACTTCCAAATTTATCCTCCTTTTCCTGTTCTTCTCCATTTACCAGACAATATAAATGATAACAGAGCTATACCTGTGGATCAAACAATGTCACAAACTACATCCTCACCAAGTCTACAGTTTCACGGGCTCAGGGTGCTGTGGGGATAATCAAAAAACTGCCAGGAACCGTGCAGTAATTTGGAATATGTTAATACTGGAATATGTAATTTGGAATTCTAAGGATTTACACAGAACATTTAAATTTTTCCTTGACAGTAGAACACAGACACGATTTCTTCCACTTCAAGGCTGAAAGCTGACAGGAGCAATGTCTTGACTTACAGAAAACCCAGGCTCAGTGAAGGATGATATCAGCTAAAAATCATAAAAACAGAATCCAGAGCTTAAGTATTTAATTAAACCTTTGTGCTTCTGTAGACTAGAAATGATTGCAGAAGAAGCAGAAATCCATAGCCCAGGACTTCTCCTCCCATCCTATTTTACAAGATTTGGCCCCATCAGAACAATGACATTTTTGCAAGTACCAAGAACAAGAATTCCTCTCCGGCCGGTCGGTGCTGCCCTGGGGCTCGGTGCTCCCCAGCAGCCCCGCTCCAGCCCTGCAGCTGGGGTGTTGGGGAAGGGGACGATGCTGTGCAGAGCTCCTGGCACCCCGGTGGGGTTGGGCTCCACATTCCAGGGCTCTTCCCAATCCAGGCTGGGGACGTTCGGGCTGGATGCTTTTCATTCAGCGGAGAGCAAGGTCAGGTGGAGCGACTCCGAGGCGAGGGCCATTCCAGGGAAAGCAGGAGTGAACAGGAGCTGCCACAGAGGTCTGGGAGGGCTGAGTGTGCTGCCAGAAGCAGGGTGCTCCAAGACGGAACAGAATCCACGGGGACCTGGGAAACAGGTCACCACAACCCAGCAGAGACCATCAAGGAAATCATTCAGGACTCTGGGAACAGGAGGTGGTGCTCTCCATAAGGACACGGAACGGGAAGCAGTGATCCAGCTGCAGGATGCTCGGGGGGCACAGGCCACGCTCACACCTGGCTGAGCCTCTCCCGGGCACGGGGGCGGTTCTGGGGACACAGCCGGGCCCAGACCTCGGCACAGGAACAGGGAACTCCCCCTCGAGATGAGCACGACAGAAATAAAACCTGTGGATGAGAACTCTGCTTCCCACCAGCAAGGTTTGCAGGAGGCAGAACCACTCTGGTGCTTCAGTGACAAACACCAGTGATTGCAGCAGAGGAAAATATGAATATTTAATATGTTTACTGAGCAATCTCTGTCAGTCCCGTTGTGCATCCATGCAGAACTACATCCCCTCATTTACATTCGGGATTCCCTCGCGGATCTGATGGGCACAGCACAGACACAGCTGGAAAGTGCAACATTGCCTTTGGCTTCCTCAGCTCCGGCAGCGCTTTTGGAAGGGCTGGAGCCACACAGGACCTGGGGATAAGGATTTTATCGGAACAGGTGAACATCCCATTACATACACATTACTTTTCCATGGCTGGAAAAGGCCAGGAGCTAAAGCTGGGCTCGTTGTGGCAGCTGGGTGAATTTTACAGCGGCTGTGTGAGGAATCCCCCGTTAGCAAAGCTTCACCGCGAAAGCCAAAGCCCCGGGCTCAGAGCTGGGCAAGGAACGAGCGAGGAACGGCTGCAGAGCAAGGGCAGCTCCACACGCTGCCCCTTCCAGCGTCCATCCGTCCATCAGCTGCCCAGGGGACACGGCTGCACCAAGCAGATGGAAAGGTAATGTTCTGTACATTTTATTTCAATAAAGACATAAGACAAACAGCGTAAAGATGCCCGGATGCCCTAAAGATAAATACATTTAAAAGATTCTCATTAAAATGAATCTGTAGTATTTCTTTCCTGCAAGCAAAATACCTTTCTTTAAATACAAAAAAAATCAGTATTCTGAATTGCAAATGTTTTCACTTTTTTTGCAGAAAATCTGCCATGATGATTTTGTTTTTAATGAATAAGGATTTTCCACAAAACAGGCTTGCTCTACATGCTAAGTTTTAACAGTTCAGTGACACCATGTGCTAGCTACATACACAACAGATAATATAGTAAGAAAACACTCAACCTGATGAAAAGTTAAAATCTTCATTAATACACTGGAAAAAGTTGACATAACTCATGCCTTTTAAAATCAAAAATACAAAAATTAAATGTTTTGCTAAAAAGATTTTCCTTATTTTAAGGACTCATTTGAAAATGAAGCTGCATGTAATTTGTACAATAAAATTGTACAAGTAAACAGGTAATATACATAAAAAATTAATTGACATTCTTCTCAATTATCAGCTGTCCACCTTTAATTTCCAATACTGTACTTTCTTATCAAGCATACAAAATAGCAAACTTCTCTTTAGAAAAAGTGCCGTTCTGTGACATCTTTTACACAAAACCAGTCCGAGCCTGTGGCGTGGTAATGCAGTCGAGAGGCAAAGCTTCCTAACTCGTACGAATTCTGCCTTCCACAAGAAGCCTGCGGGAGCCCGGGGCCGGGAGAGCATCAGCTGCGGGCTCTGCCCGGGGGTGGCCAGAGGGAAGCCCGGCCTGGAGAGGCTGTCACAAGCAGGAGTGTCACAGGAGCCCCGTGGCCAGGAGCACGCTCGTCCTGCCCCAGGCACAGCAGAGGCTGAGGTATTCCTTGTCCGTGTGGTGCCACTGCCAGCCGTGCTGTGTCCAGAGGACGTGCCATCGCAAGGGCTTGGGATATTCCCAATATTAGTAATTCTTATCTTCGTCTTATCTAGCCAGTCTCTTGATTTTTTTTTTTTGAAAAGGTTTCGACTACAGTAGAATATTACAGAAAAAAAAAATATATATATATAAATGCGGGGGGGGGTTTTGTTGGGTTGGTTTTTTTTTTTTTTCTTTTTCTTTTTTCTTTCTAAATGAAACTTACGTGGGCTAAAACTAGAGAATATTTTTAAACAAATATACAGGATGCAGGCAGACAAAGCAGGGAAACGGCCAGCCAACTGTTTAATAAAAAACTAATAAAATTTGGCTATTTCCAGAAAAACTATGAAGCGCCTCAACTAAAAGGAATGCATAATGAAATTCTAATCTAATACAGGTCAAAAATGTAAAAAGGTTATAAACCTTAACAGGAAAAATAAAACAACTTTTACTGGCCATTCCTGTTGAAATGAGAATCTTAAAAGTAACAGAAAAGTGGCTACAAACCCACTTAGAGCACCGAACAGAGAGAAAATCCGAGTCCGTTTTCAATCTCTGTTGTATCATAAAATCCTGTGTTTCTACAGGTCAGACTGCTGGTGGCAGAAACAGAATTTTCTTTATAAACTGCAGATGTCCTGTACATAAAAAATTTCCTTGGAGTTGCACTAGTTCTAAAGACTTTTCTGTTCTAGCCTCCCTACTGCGGGTACTGGATTGTACTGATGGCGGCAACCTCAGGTGTAGAAAGTCTCTTTCTGTAACCCTTGATCACTGTTGGGCACCAAAGATAAGAAAAGCAAGACGGGGTACAAAAATGCAAAATTTCAACAGTAATGGCAATGTTTTGTATTAGTCCAACAGGGTCCTGCATTTCCTCCCCTCGGCAGTGAGAGCAAAGGCTTTAATCGGGGGGTAGCAAATCATGCAAGCGAAATCTGTCTCTGATGTGAGGCCGGACGTCTTCGTTCTGTGGGGGAAAGGGCAGGTTTAGGAGAATTACCACAGCCAGAAGCCCACTGCAGCAGGGCTCCTCCAGCACCACCCCTCTTTCAACAGAACAAACACAAGCCACGAGTTCTGCCATTCCAGACTCAGAGAAACAACTCCATAGCATCCACAGCAGTTCAGGAGTGATTTATCGGCCTTTTAGGGACAAAGACACACAGCACAGCCAGCAAGCGACACTGGGGCACCTGAAAAACGCTCAGACATTCCCCATTTCCTCAGGACTGATGCCACAACCCCACAGCCCTGCCTGTACAGCACAGCCAGCAGTGACAAGTGTCCTTTTGCTGTGTGAACACATCCCTGGATCTTCACCAGCCTCAGTGACTCAGAAACCCTTAACAATAGGTGAAAATATTAAAGGAACTCGCTGACAGTTTCAGGAAAAGCCAAGAAAGCAAACACTTACCAGCTCTACGAGTTTCTCCAGAAATGGAATCAACTTTAGGAGCTCATTATCATTTTTATCCATGAACCAGCTTTCTATAGGAATTCCATTGGAAAGCTGAAGTTAAAATATGAAAAAAAAAAAAATTAAAAAATTATCAACACACACTTTATATGTAATTTATCTACAAATATGACTTGTAAAATAGCATTTGGGGGAAAAATGTTTCCAAGTTACAGATCCCTGAGTATTTTTCCCACAGTGCTGTTTGCAAACTTCAGTACAGAGCCCCAAACTTCCGTGAGAAGTGAAATCCAAGTGTGGGGTTCCCTGTCCCCCTCGGGAAGTTTTGCCCCCCTGAGGTGGCTCCTGGCCAGCCCCTCACCTGGTAAGCAAAGGCTTGCGGTGAATTGTCGATGATGATGGTTTTGGAGAGGTCTCTGCCCAGGATGTTTAAATCCTTGATGTAGTTCCCTTGTACACACACACAGTGCTCACGGAAGAGTCGATGCCTGGCATTAAAGGAAAGCACTCATCAGTGAGACCAGGGGCACAGAGCTTTGCCAAGCATTATCCAGTTTGTTCTCTTCTGATCTCCTGTTAGAGAACTGCACCCTTTCTCTGTTCTCTTTAAAGCTTTTTACTGGTAAAATGCCCCATTCAGGTGATTTTGCAGCTCTGGGGTGGGTGCTTGTATTTGTTCAGGCTCTTCTTCCTGACCCCTTTCACCGACAGGCTGACAAAGGGACCCAGAACACCCCAAGGATCTGCCAAGCCCCAGGTGCTGCACAGAGCTGGTTTTTATTGGGATTTTTTATCCCTTTATTCCATCCCAGCCCTGACAGAACAGGGCCTCCCTGTGCCACCTCGTGCCAGGACACCAAGTGTCATGAGAAATGTTTCCTCTCCTGTTACACCTCTGCTGCGAATTAACCTGTTTCCCTTATTACATCTCAAAAAAAAGCCTCGGGGCCAAAACATCCCATCAACTCCTTCCCTTCCCATTAGCCTGCTCCCGTGTAATTTATGACAGAAGAAATGGATGGATGGACTAAAATGGCTCTGACTGAGAAAGCAGCAGCAATAAAACTCCCATTTCACGGTGTATCCACAGAATTACGGAGCTGGCAGATTTGGGGCTGCCCAGCCCCACTGCAGGCTGCCTGGATGTTTAAATGGAGTGCTCAGAAGCTGTACACAGTGTGCCTAATTCCATGCAGGAGCTGAGCTCCCAACGTTGCCATGGAGGGAAATGAGCTGCTGCATTTATATTTAGAGTGTGAGTCACACGTGTGGGGCCTGACAGGCACCTGGGGCTGGTGGCAGAGCTGGGCCCACGGCAGCCCCAGGCAGCACAGGGACAGCTCTGCAGCTTCCAGAGCCTGCCTGGCTGCTTGTGCCACCGCCTCTGCCTGTCCCAACACACAGCAGCCAGTCCTGAGCGCTGGCACACGTGTCTGGAGGAGGCTTTGACACCAGTGCCCCCCACTCTGTCCCCCTGGGCACCATCCTCGGGGTGTCACCTGCTCTGCCACCACCGGGGACGGCTTCCCTGGCCTGGGACACCCCGCACAGCAGGGATCACTCTGGGTCAGCACTGACAGGTACAGTCCCCCTGCCAGGTGACAGGGACAGGATCTCAGCCCTAGAATTTCCTTCTGCCTTAAGGAACTGGGAGAGCCAAGCATTTCCCAGCAAAGCTCAGCACTGAGAAATGAAAATCCAAACCAGCTCTAATACAAAACCAACAGACAAATGACTTTGAGATTGAATGAGAATCAAAAGCATGCTGATTGTAAAAGCTACACAAATCAGAATTTATAATAAATAACTCAAGTTTGAACAGTTTAAAAGTAATCAGGTACTCATTTCATTTCCTTTATTTGCAGTGTGTATTCCAAAGCCCATTTTTGATCCCCAAGAGTCGCTTCCCATGAGCCAGAGACTGAACAGGGACAGCTTTTGGCCTGGGGTTATTTTATCACAAGGCACCAACTCCATCACTTCAGTCCATTGTTGTCCCTCTCTTGGCCCAGGCAAAGCCCCAGGGATGAGCCAGGGAGACTCTGCAGGGAGGAGCACATCCCACCCCACTGCTCACCACACTGCTCTGCTTTACCTGACCAGCTGCTTCTTGGGGTCCAGGATGTTCAACAACTTGTCTGCATACACCTTCTTAGAAGCAGTGAACAGAATGATCTGGGGATTGGAGGGGAAAAAGTCACCACTGGAGGTACAAGCAGGCAGAATTTCCAACAGGGAATTTGAAGGTGGTGTCTGACAGTTTTACCTCATAAATCTGAGACATCCGCTCCAGGAACTCTCGGAAGAACGGCCTTAGCCGCACGTACACCTGCAGCAGAGAGGGGCTTCAGCAACACTCCCAGCCCTCCAGCCACCCCACCACGGCCCTCACGGTGCACAGCAGCTCAAAATGAGCACCAGAAACCCCAGACACACCAGAATTCCAGCACAGCAGCTCAAACCCAGAGACACCAGAATTCCAGCACAGCAGGTAAAATGAGCACCAGAAACCCCAGAGACACCAGAATTCCAGCAGCTCAGAGGGGAGCAGGTGCACAGCAGCATCAGCCTTAACACATCTACTGGCAAACAGGATGGAATTAGAAAACAATTTAGTAAAACACAGAAGTTGGGCAATCTCTAAATGGAAAATGGAACTGGATGCTTGGCCTGAACACCCTGACTCGGCTCTCACAGCTCCAGCCCCAGACACAAGAACTAAATCCTCTTCTCAAAAACCACCACCAAGTGCCTGAGCCTGGGGGTGTCAGAAGTGATTCAGGAAAAGGCTTCAGCTGTTTCTCTATTTCCATAAGAGAAAGCATTCCCTGTGAGGAGCTGTGGAGCCCCAGGAGGCCCCAGCCAGGAGGGCTCTGCCTCTCTGACTCCAGTAAAGGATTTGGGCCTGCAGGGAGGAGCTGCAAAGTGGAACATTTTAAGTGAACACAAAATTTCCTGCCAGATCTAACACCTGCAGTTTACCACCAGACAGGTGTAAAATGCCAGGCTGCTGCTCCTCTCTCTTCAAACAAGCTGGGAACAACCACACACAGCAAGGACTCCCACAAAGCAGAAGAAAAAGGTTTCTGTTTTTCTATTTACCTGGTAAATGACATCTTGAAAAAGAACTGGAAAAGTGAGTGCAGCATCTTCTAATTCATTTAGACTACAGTGCACTAATGTTTCATCCTAGAGAAAAAGTTACATAAAGAGTGTGAAAAAACAATGTGGAAAATAGAAGTAGTTTCTGCATTTTATGTTTATTTTAAAGCAGGTTTATTTAGAATGGAAGATGTACTTTTGTGCAAGTGCTGTCAAGATTGAAGAAAATTCTTAGGATGAATTAAACATTTCATTATTCTTGTAATTTTTTTTTTTTTTAAATTGTCACTAAAACTGTGTGCTGGGGGTGTAGTCATAAGGAGATATTTTATTTTGTAGGCTCTTGTCTCATTCAGTTCCAGCCTCTATCTTTCAGTGTGAATAATGAACCCATTCCTACGATCACAGGCCCAACTGATGCTCCTCAAAAAAATCACACCACCATTAACAGGGCCTGAAACAACTTTCAAAACAATCACCACCAAGACAAATACATTTCATAGGATTATTTTCAAAAATTAGATTTGTGCCCTTTAAGAATGTTCTAAAAAAAGTCAAAGTTTAATTTTTCATCCATCTTGCTGAAAGACACTCATAACTGAATTCTCCTCTTTATTCCACCTCATTTTTCCCACTCTGGATTTAGGGAAACTTTATGGGGACAGATCACTGTTTGAGATGTTAAAACTGAAATGCTTTTTCTTTTTTTAAGCAGGATGCAAGTATTTAACAAATGCAGCTCACATTCTATTCCTACCACAGTTAATTCTTTTTCAACTATTTTTAACTAAAATTATGCAACATTCAACAGTCTTTGTTTAAAGCAAGCACAACTGATTTCCACAACGAAGAAAATAAGGGAAATGCTCCATCCCCCTGCTTTGGTTTGTGTTTACAAAGATATTTACCAAGTCTAGAACTAATGAGAACTCTGGTGTGCTTCTGGTTTTCAGTGGGAGAGCTGGCTTCCTGTTCAGCTGCTCTTCTGTTAGTGGGGGGACATGTTTGATGAAATAGTATCTGAAAAGAACACAGATTGTGCTGTAAAAATGTACATTATTGAACTGCACTGTTCAATGTGCAATGTTGCAACTCAATATTTGAAATATTTAAGGCACAAGAAGTGTTTTAAATTGAAATAAACCTCACAGGAGCAGACACATAATTTTTTTTAAGAGCTTTTATCGTAACATGAAAATGATCTAATTTAAATAGAAGTATCTTAATTCAATACCCCAAACAGTTAATTTACTATTTCCAGTAGAAACACTGGCACTTACGGATCAAAGACTTCCCAGTCCTCTTCATAGGTGGCTTCTGCATGAGCTGATGAGTAGCCACTGTCTGGAGATACTGGTGCTGAAATTCAACCAAAATGACCAAAACAAAAAATAAAACAAAAAACCACGAGAGCTGGTCTTATTAGTGCAGTTCTTTAAAGTGACAATTTGCACTTGAGACACGAGGGAGGAGAACAAAGTGTCCCTCCAGCCCCACCTGCCCTGCCAGGGGCTCCTGCAGCCAGAGCAGCCCCTCTGCTCAGGGGTCACATTCACCCCCTCCTGAAAAGCTGCTCACCTCCAGAGCAGGGTCTGGGGAGGGCTTAGCCAAGGATTTGATGCTGCCCATGCACACAGAAAGCTGAATTTTATGGCTACAGTTTTTGTCAAAAAAATAAAGATGCTGTCTTCTGAAGAAATGATGGAAAATTAATGTAGGATCTGTGTGAGTCTCACATTCTCAGCTACCATGTGGTTCTAATGCAAGACATCAAAATGCAGCCAATTCCTCACTGGAGATCAGCAAGTCCAGAGTGTGCAAGTTCAGTGTTAATAATAATTCCTTTCCTCTGGAATCTCTGCTTCCATGGGAAGAAGTGTCAAGAGGCCAGCTGAGTTACACCAGGAATAGACAAACCCTGCCAAAACTGTCTTTGGTGCATAAACCAGATGTGTCCGTAAAAATCAGAATTAACACTGTTTGCACACCCCAAGGGGAGGTGGCACAGGAGTCCCTGCCGAGGTGCTGGACCCTCTGGGAGCACTGTCCCTGCCCCTCAGCCAAGGGGAGGTGGCACAGGAGTGCCCAGAGCCCCATCCCTGCCCCGTGGCACACCCCTGGCCCTGTCCCTTACCCGTGAGCGGGGGCAGGTCGCGGTCCCCCGGCTCCTCGCTGTCGCCCAGGCCGTTGTTGACAGCCCGGAGCTGCAGGGCCTGCCCGGGGAAGGCGGCGCCGTTGGTGGAGGTGGCCGTGCTCGTGGTGATCTCGTCCACCTGCTCCATGTCCAGCTGCTTCACGATCTCCTCAGCTTCCACAGCCTGGCCCGGAGAGTCGGAGCCCGATGTTCCTGGGGGACATTTGCAAACACTCCTTACCCCTGGGCCGAGCTCCCTGCTGTCAGGCTCACTCACGCACAAAGCATCACAGAATTCAAGAGATCTGCACTGATTCGTGCCACAAAAACAAGAACCAAACCAAAGACCATGACAATGACTTTAAAACATGCTTGGGACAAGGAATGCAACCCCTTGGGATTTCTTCCTTCTCCTTATTTTGTTTACTGAAAGGTGCACCACTAAACACACCCTGTGAAAGAAATGTTTGAATGCTTTTAAATTTCTTTCATTATCCATCAAACCACCCAAGAATTGAGGAGCTTTTTTGCCTGGCAGCAGTAACTCGGTTTGTAAACCAGAATAAAAAGTGTACTGTCACTCAAAGCAGCTATTTCATACAAAAATCTATCACCTTCACTATCTATCACTTAAGACTATTGGCTTTTTGAATAATACTCACCATTTTTATTTGCTGGTGAAAAAAAATTGAAAACAGGAGAAAATATGGTTCCCAGTAACGTTGTTCGTGGGGGGCTGCCTGTGGTAGGGTTATCTTCCAACTTCCCATTTTGCTTTACGTGTTGGTTCGTCATCTCATAACTTCCAGCTTCTGGAAAAGGAAAAATACAAGTTTGAACACCAGCCAGCTGGGCTTCAGTTGCCTCTGTTCCTTTATGGTCAGCATTTGCACTCTAGGGGTGCACTCTTGTTCGTGGCTCAGCTGGGGCCATGAGAACCAGCAACTTTCTACCAGCAAAAGCCCAAAATGTGCATTCTCAGCACCTGCACGAGGCAGCAGCCCCTGCTCTCACAAAGAGCAGAGGTGTGAATCCTGGCAGGGATTTGGTGGGAGGCAGCCCCGGAGCTGCCAGTGCCAGGACTCCACTAGAGGGAGGCAGGAGAAAGGGTCAGAACTGCCTGGCTGAGCCTCCAGCTGCTGCAGAGCGCAGCGTGTGCTCCTCTCCACACACACAGGCACAAACAGCTCGGAAGGGAAAGAACTGACAGCTCTTATCACTGGTAATAATTAATAATATCATGCAGAATTACATGAATATCCACGTTACACACCTGACACGTAACAAGGGTGATCTCTGAATGTTAGGACAGGTATGTACATCCCACAACCCAAATCCCCGCCTCACAACTCTGACAGAATGTGTTTGACAAGTGCTTTCAGCATCTAAGGACACCTGCTTACTTCCACAAACCTCAAGAGTTGTGATCTAAAAGGTTTCCCTTTTATTTGTGAGAAAATGGGAGAAGAGCTGAATCAAATTATTATGGGACTTTTAGAATAATAATTAAAATTTAAAAAAAAAAAGTTAAATTAGTTCCAAAGCAGCTGCTGCTGGTCCCAACCGTGGATGTGTCTGGGGGTGATGCAAGTGTTGCTCCCACCCCTGGAAATCCTGTTTTTCCCTGCCAGAAGCCCAGGAAGCTCCCCCAGTGCAGATGAGCCTGGATGAGGGCAGAGCTGGGAGATCAGGGAACTCTCCCTGCCCTGCTGGGCACAGTGTGAGCATTTGCCAACCTCCATTCATCTGACTTTTCCGCCGCACTCGCGACAGCTGTTTGTTGGGCTTCTCTCCCGTCTGGGGCGTGGAGGTGATCAAGTTGTTATCGATATCCCGCTCAATCCGACTCCTCTTGGTGGGATTTTCTCTTTCTTCCTTAAAAGAGAAAAGAGGGAAAAAAGGAACGTACTGAGCAGTGCCTCTTTCTCCATGGAACAGACCAGAGAATGTTATCTCCAGGAGCAAGTTCACCAAAGGTCCCTTTACTGCTCCACTTCAGATGCAGAATGTGCAACAAGTGTCTGGCCAGCTGGGATTTCACATGAGTTTAACCTAAGGTATGGGGAATGAAAACTGCACACAGAGCTGCTGGAGTAGAAAACTTGTCTTTTTAGCCAATCTATAAATATTCCAGTGCTGCAGAGGCTGGGAAATGCAGAGACAAAGCTACTAAAATTACCTTGATTTCTCTGCCTGTTAAATGCACAGGAGGTGAACTGCCCAACAATATCCAATGTGAAAATCCAAAACAGCACAGGGCAAAACTCAGCAGTGAAAAATCCAAGGATTCTCCTTACCTGGAAATAAGTGACTGCAGCACTCATGAGAATGAGACAGAGCCAAACAGTTTTGCACATCTTCTGTGCATGGCTCACATTTATGACAGGTTTCTTACCCTCTTCCCCCAAAACACCTATGACAAGTCGGTAAAGTGTTGAAATTTTATCAGATTTTTATGTAGCTGATCTGGAATACATTGTAAATTAGTTATGACTTCTTGGATACTCTTCTTTCCAATCTGCAGTTACATAATGGCAGTGTCTGAGGGCTGGGATGGATGATGTGGGGTTTTTAACTGGCCTCCATCTAGAGAAAAAAAGCCAGTTTTTGAAGTAATTGCAAGGTTACAGTCAGCCTACCAAACTTTATATATATGTATGTATATATATATACACACATATATATGTATGTATGTATATATATATTTATACATATATTTATATATATGTATGTGAATATATATATACACATATATATGTATATATATTTTTATATATTTATGCATATTTATATATATATATATATATATATATATATGTGTGTGTGTGTGTGTGTGTGTATTTTTCAGCCACAGGAATCCCTGAGCAGCTGTATCAATTCCATGGCACTTGGATTTGTGAGGTTTGACCTTCATTGATTAAATGACTCCGAAACAATTTTGAATAAAATTGCCAGAAATAGTCAAGAAATTAATGCTTACAGACTGGCTTTTCTAAGAAATTAATGCTTACAGACTGGCTTTTCTAAGTTGTTAGCACTGGTAATTCCTTGAGTCTGGATTCAAGGAATCCTTAAACTAGAAATGAAGAATGCGCTGAATTTATTTGGCATTTTCACAAAGAAACACCAGGTAATAAAGCCTGTGATTTGTCAGCCTGTTAATTGACTCCTGAAGGTTTCAGAGTCTGCTTTACCTGACACAGCTCACAGGCTCTCATTGCCTTCCACCTCTTTACGTTTTGCTCCCACCACACAATTAATTAATTCTCAACAGAACTGCTTTTCAATCAAACTGGAAGCGATCATGACCCACTTGAAAGCAAAGCAGGGGCCTGCAGCCGGCGTACCTTGGGCGTGCTTCCTTTAATGAACTTTTTGATGGAGGACAAGAGGCCTGTCTCATTTTTGGGTGGTTTTCCCCCGCCGCCAGGTAAGGGCTCCTCCACCTCCGAGTGTTTCCGCTTGGCCCGCAGCGCCCGCTGCGTGTGGAGCTGGTTGGACTGCTGGGAAGCTTTCCGTGTCCTCAGCCTCATCTTCATGGGTACCACATGGAAAGCTGTAAGGGACAAACCAGGAATCCTCCATTGAGGAAACATGTTCAGCTCCTGAGTCTGAAGAATTACACAAGGCTGGTGGTGCTGCCGACACACGGAGCAGCTTCCTCAGGCAGAGCAGCCCGCTGCCAGAGGCACAGACACAGGGACTCTGGCCATGGATCCATGGATCCACATCCCTGAGCCTGGCACAACCCTCCACTCGGGACACAACCAACCTGCTCGGGTCATGGAGTCCAGGGTGTGAACAATCACACCTTGTCAGCCAGGAGGCTGTCAACAGCCTCGATAAAGGATTGATTGTGGGGTGCCTGCTGTCTGCACCCCCAAATCACTGGACTCTGTGACCCAGGAAGTTCTTTCCTCTCTCTGCTCCTCAAAATACTTCATTGCAAGTCTCCACATTACACTTGAGATGAGGAATAAATCTAAATTCCTGCCAAGTGCTTGCAGCAGGAACCGTGAGCTTGTGCACTCAGAGAGGGTGAGCACAGAGCAGCTCTGCAAAGGAACCCAACCTGAGCTTCAGTTCAGCACGCTTTGGGAACCACACCAGACCTTGGCACACTCAAGGGCAGTGTTTATTAAAGCAGAGTGAGAGGCCATTCCAGGGAATGCATCCCATTTATCTCCAGCCTCCAAGTGGGCTGCTGGTACTGTCACACCCCAGCCTCAGTGTCACTGCTCTCTGGGCTGGGGACGTGCCCTCTGCAGCTGCCTGGAGCTGGGCTGCTTTGAAGGGGACTCCTCATGCTTAAAATCATTCTTATGATGGATCAGGAGCAGAAAAATGAAGTAGCAAGAAGTCCACCTGAGGTGTAACGCACAGAAATACTGGAAAGAAAGTAATTTTCCTTTCCTAGCTGAAATTATGACAAAAAACAGGTTTTAAAAGAAAAATCGTATGGTTATCACTACAGGAATCAGTACCTGCCTTTCTGGAGTCCATTTAGTGTGGATCCCATTGCTGCAGAGACAGAATAAACAATCTGCAACATTCACCATGTAAGTAATGTCACAACAGGTATGTTGTTTAGGAGAAGGCAAAGGTGGCACTGGGATGAGTCACAGACAGGGAAATACTGATAATATTTTTGAAAGCCTGTCCAAAACCCGTTCCACAGCCGTGTTTGTTCCCAGGTAAATCTCAGTCTCACACAAAGGTGCTGCAGCTAACGAGGAATGACCCGAGCACTGACACTGCTGTCAGGCTCAGCAGGGAAAGTTCTCCCTGGCTATTGCCAAGGGTGAAACATGATGTTACACAGAATTACTACATGGGATATTCATTTTCCACAGGTCCGTGCTCAGCATTTCCCCCAGTGGTCAATGCAGCAACAGGAGGCAGTTCAGTCCAGCTGCCCCAGCACTGCAAGGCACCCACATCCCCAGGAGCCACATCCCCAGGGCTGTTATTGCTCCCCAGTGCTGCCCTGGGCAGCTGGGCCACGGCTGGACAGCCCTTTCCATGATGAAATATTCCCAATATCCACCCTGAGCCTCCCCTGGCCCAGCCTGAGGCCGTTCCCTCTGCTCCTGTCCCTGTCCCTGGCAGCAGAGCCCGACCCCCCGGCTGTTCCCTCCTGCCAGGGATTGTGCAGAGCCAGAAATTCCCCCTGAGCCTCCTTTGCTCCAGGCTGAGCCCCTTCCCAGCTCCCTCAGCAATTCTCCAGCCCCTTCCCAGCTCCCTCAGCAATTCTCCAGCCCCTTCCCAGCTCCCTCAGCAATTCTGTCAGGGTGACAGGATGGCAGCAGGGGTGACAGGACACAGTGTGAGGGTGACAGGACACTGTCAGGGTGACAGGATGGCAGCAGGGGTGACAGGACACAGTGTGAGGGTGACAGGACACAGTGTGAGGGTGACAGGACACTGTCAGGGGT